GACAGGGCGAGGCTGGTCCCCAGGAGATTTTTCGAGGCAGCGTCGAGGCTGCGTCTGTTGTCTTGGCCGACGACGGGCTCTCCCGCTTGTCAGAAGTGGCCCTTACTCGGAATTGCAGGGTCAAACCTGGCGTCAGATTACAGACTGTCACTTCCTTGGCCCGACCCTCGTAGATGACATACCAGGCGAGTTCCTGTTGGCCCTCCTGCGCTTCTCCCTCTGAGTCACTTCCGGACAAAGATGAATCAGTAAAGCCGCAAGCCTCCTCACCAGCATCGCCGTCTACGCCAGCTTCACCACACCGATCCTTCACGGCCTTGGCGGAGCTGGCAACGCGTCGGGGCAGTTGCGGATTTGAGGGGACTCTGCGGAGGACGTTTTGTTTGTTAGTGGATAGGCCAGTCTGGACCGCGGAAGGTGTCTGCAATACCAGTGAGGACGGTGGCCGAGAAGCGAACGTACTGTCGTCTGTGGAAGCTACAGGGGATAAATAAAGTAGGGAAGGGTTTGTTTAAGGGATCCTTTCACAATCATGCCTTTTACTACTAGTATGTAAATGTACGTACATACACAGGATTGCCGACAGAAAAAAAGGATACGGGGGAGGGCAGCCGTTTCGGTCTTACTAGCAGTCATCAGCCGACCGTTTCGAAACCCTTAGATTTGGCTGACTTGCGATTATAGCGCCGAATGTCTCTCATGTGGTGGTAAATTCACCTTCTATGATTATACCAAGGGCCCGCTGTCTTGCCGGTAGTAATTATGAATGATTACTATCATGAGAATGGCGTCAGCCAATCGCGTTAAGGTAAAAGCCTTGGGGGTCAGTCTAAAGGGCCCCCTCATACGGTGAAATAGTGACAAGTGCTGATGCAAGAAGGAGGAGGAGCGGCAAACTCCCCGAAGAGGGTGGACGATGCCCAGTAAGCTCAGTCTCTCTTGGCGTTGTTGGTACTTATTTCTGCATATGTTTGTTATATTGCTGAGCTAAAAGGAGGAGGAGGAGCAAACTTGTGTTGGATCCGACGCTCCCCATCTGAGTAAAGCCTGGAAGAAGTAGACTTGATAACAAGGTTGTGTACGTGACACACTTGGCGGTTCGTTTAGATTTCGCCTTGCTATCGGAATGTGCTGGACGTATGAAGACAACGCGAGGTAGGCGCACATCGAAAGTCCACTTCAATTTGAACCCATCCATGGATCACTCATGGCTGGTTTAGTTTTGTAGAGCAGGAATAGAGCTCTTAACTCGCGATGGTCAAACTCTGGCGCAAAGATGCCGTGGTATACAACTTATGCTAGTTTTAGGGAAGAAAGCTGGGGATCTTCGGTAAAATTGGATTATACTTGTGATTTCTTAATCTAAAACCAAACACACCGTCGTCATATGAAGGGAATACGCGAGGTGAAATGTTTGCCATGGGGGAGGGGGCAAGCAGACTACAAATAACAGTCTTTAGGGTGGTAGAATTAGGCGTTAGTGTTAGAGATGAAGTTAACTGCAGTTTAGAGAGCAGACAGTCAGTTAGATCTGAAGTGGTTGTTGTTGTTATTGTCCTTGTCTAACAGGATGTGGCAACGGCTCACGAGGTGGGCATATACAGGTCTGCCTCAAGGTCAAAGATTAGGGCCTGAGACGGCAATTTAGTAAATAAATCTGAAGGTTTAATGTGAAGCAGAAATACAGTAGTCGCCGGTTATTAAGCCCACGGTTAATAAGCCCAGCCGCTTATTAAGCCCAATTTGGTTTGGGTCCGAGGTGGGCTTAATAACCGGCGACTACTGTAGGAGGTGGGTTATATCACCGAGAAGGCAGACATCGGAACATAACGGAGGCCTTAACTGTTTATGGTCTACTGTTTTACTCTTTGTATGACCCACCGGAATGAATAATCAGGTGAGTCGTCTGACTACGGCTACTATCATACTGCGGGAACGGAAGGAGCAGTGATCAAGGCCTCAGCCAGTTTGAACAGACTGCTCAGTCGCCAATCCACTGTGTAAGATAGATAGGCCCGCCTTAACGATGCCCACTCGTCAAAATCACAAATTGCACCAGAGAGGAACACCTCACCGAATCCTTCCCCACCCCCTCAGGATCATTACCATTGCTCGAGTAATCAACGTCATCTTGCATTTCGACCAATCAAAATTTGTTCGAGTCATCTGGCAAATAAATATAACATGAGCGGCCGCACTGGTTAGTAAGGATGACTTGCATGAACACTGCCGGCAAAGACAAGGCACACTGGAATGGGCATTTCTGGCAACTTATCCGCCATCAGCTA